CCGCCCGCTCACGTGATAACATAATACGTCCCCGTCTTCGACGGGCGTATAAAAACGAAAAATAATATTTGTCCTTATTTTTTAATATTTTTCCTTATTTTTTTTTTACTTTTTAGAGATTGCCAAGTTCAGTTCCAACATATGAGCTACGTATACGTTCAAAATTACATCAAATTCAATGGCACAATTTGTTGTAAAATGCCAGACATCAATAATCTCGTTTACACCTCTTTGCCTCTGACTTAGATGCTGAATTATACAGGTCAAAATATTGGAATCTAATTGAAAACCATACCTCCGAATTATCAGCATAAACATATTCTATTTATTTAAACATTTTCAGTCGTGAAACTTTAAACCGCAATTTATATTCAGGGTAAAAACAACAAACTTCTAAAATTACAAAAAAAACTAGTTGGTCGTTGTAGAAAGCCAAAAAACTCATAATACGCTATTTGTTCTTTACGCTTCTCCCTATTTCTAACTACTGTACCGTTCTTTTCCTAGCGCCTTGCTTGGTATTACATTACTTTTGCTTTAATGTTGAACGTTCGCCGAGGTAAGGAAGACAATGGGTTCTGTCCGCAGGCTGGAACATACCGAAGTTCTTGAAAATGGTGGTTGTTATTCCCTGCTTAACGTTCAGCATTTATGGAAATGGCAACAACTGGTTCGTTCGTTGTCAGTATAATGTGACCGGGCGGAATGCTGTGCTGGGTGCCTTCGGCATGGTATTTCAGTGAGACGGCACAAGGAGGTATTTATACTAGCATACCCTGCCTTTTACACACACACACAAACACCCACACACACGCACACACACACACCTACACAAACACACGCACGCATACATCACACACATAGTGACACGCCCTTAAATGACCTTAGCTGTTAATAGGACGTTAAACAAAATAAAACCAAACCAAACCAAATTGTAAATATATGGTTTAAATAGGCACACAACGCATCAGGAAGACGCATTTATTTCATAATTAATAAAATAAATGTTGAATTTGAGACTTATGTAAAAGAACTAAGCACTTCAGAATCCCTGTCCCGATGGATCGGGGTTTTCCTATCAATAGTAACCTTCCCTTAGCTTCCGTTTAGATATAACAGTAGCAGAGTTATGGAAAGACACTTCCGTTGTTACACAGGTAGTTCAAATAGAGCGATAGTACTGTAAAGCAGTCTTAGGTCTAATTTCTTTTCAGAACTGACTTATCAATGCTATAGTACTGTTGAAGAAAACAGTTCCAAGGACTTAGTTACTTAGATGTCGTATAACATTGAAGTCTCTGGCAAAAATCAAAAACTGTGCTGAAAAGCGCAGCAGGATTATTTGTACAGAGAAAGAAAATGTAATCAATTTCTATATTTTACTATTTGAAGATTAAACAAAACTGCAAGGGGCTATCTGGATTATTAACCATCAGCTTCAATAGACTGAGGTGGTAATCTTGTCGGTTACACTCACGTCGACACCTGGCTCACTCAATTTATGGCACATATTGTGGTCTACTTTTGTTTTGTGTATTAATTAACACTGCAGGTATGATCAGTATGTCCTTAAAGATGTCAAAGAGGACAAATCTCAGTCTCCTATACGTAATTCTACTGTAATACATATCTACAGTATTTAATGATTTCTTTAAGTAAATTACGTTAATAAATCTGTGAGTATATTGTGAATCAGAAGTTTATGACGGTTGGTTTGTAAATAAGAAGTTCCTTGCTGGTGTTGATATGGCACATGGATGCAAAAAGACAATACTATTTATTTTTAACAATTTATTTTGTCTAAATTTACACTCACATTATTTAGATACTTGGTGAATGCTATCTCCTAACCAAGGTAATCTCCTACCCCAGGTAATCTCCTAACCCAGGTAACGCCCTTACTTAATATTATCTGACGCAATATTTCCCTAGCAGCTGCGAACATAGTGCGAAATGCTAAAGATTGCAAATTAACATATATGTCTGCTTCTTCTTTACGTTTTTTGAATTCACTATATTTGGTAGGAAGTTAACATGCAACAGTTACATATGATTATTGTATAGACTGACAAAATCAGCTGCTAAACAAAAAGGAAATCATACGTAGCCTATTTAAGTCGTCATTTATTGATTAAATAGCATAAAAATAACAACAAAGTTTCTATATAAACTGTTATTTATTGTAGTGTCATGGTATATACTAGATAAGGCAAGCTGTAAATATAACTGTCATACATAGTGTTATAACATTAAACAAGATGACGAAGTTTGATATTCTCATCAAGATACACGTGTATCATGAGCCGATAGTGAATTATCACAATGTATTGAAAAACGGAAATTTTGATCATTAGGATTAATATCGATTACATGTTCATATAAAACATTCAAGGTATCGACTGTAGTAATAATGCGTGAAAATAAACATATAAGCATTCCATACACAGATGTAATATCAATACTTGCCAATGTTTAAAACAGTCCATGCTGCCAAATAGAACATTCCAACTTACTGGTATCTTATCGAGTTATTTGGAATGTTGTAAATATTCTATGCTATTCAATCATTCTACTCATATTTCATCCGGTTACTCAAGTATATTTGCTAATTTTCCTAGCCATCAAGGGGAAATTAACTAATATCTTTCCATTCCTTTGAAATATTCCAACTGACGAATGTTACAAAGACATTTTGCAACGACTTTGTTACCAAAAAATACACATTAAAGGCAAAGCTAGCAAACAAATCAAATTAAAAACCGCGACTTCATTTAAGAACTTAAGAAAAAACTGATACAAAGACAGCAATCCAACCGATTTTATCAACTAGCTTTCATCGGTGTTTGACTTGAAAATGCATTTTAAAATATTGGAAAAGCTAGTATTCAAACGCAAAGCAGGCACTTTTCTCAGTGAAAGCAGGGTTGCTAATGTATTAAACAGCTGTAAGGTACAATTTGTACTTCACATATATACACCCTACAAACATAACGAAATCTAATTTCATATTTAATGTCAATTGTTAGGTACATTATAAACAAAACTGTGGTTTAAACAATAAGTTTGTTGTAAGCATTAAACGAGTTTCTCACATTCAGTGACTATACTGATTACTTTTTAAAACGCGGAACCAATAATATTTATACCGTAAAAATGTAACTGAGATAAACAAACTAACAAATTGTTTCTGACGAATTCTCTTTGTTTTCGACATTTACATTGTTGTCAGTTTTATCAACTGAAATTTGCAAGGCATCCTTTCTTACTGCGCATTCATCCTTCTGAGGAAGGCATTCTTCACTCACGGTAGATAGTTCATGTCCGCCATTGGCAGGTTGTTCTGAGATGCTATTTGTTCGAGATTCGATGACGTCAATTTTTTCAGCATCATTGAAATCTTTATTGACAAGAGAGTCAGTGACGTTACCATTGACAGTTGGGAGAGTGTTGTCAGATTTGTCCGCCACTGTTGATACAGATGAAGGAGGAATGGGGTTTGATGTTCCGTCCACTTTGTCATGTTTGACGGGAGAGGGTGATGGAGTTGTTGCCTTTCGCAGTTTATATCCTTTCTTGATGTCATTTAACAGTTTGTCAATGATACAACCCTCATCCTGATCTGGAATGTTCTTCTTACCTACAGATAGAATTGAAATGTTAACATCTTCCCTCTTTCATGGATTCAGTAAACATAGGTTGGATTCGAAATAATTTACAATCGAAGCTCGTTAATCCAGTACGACTAATTAGACTAGAACCCTAACAGTGTTTTAAAAATATAATCTAAGTAATATTGTACAAATGATCAAGGGTTATCGCTACCAAGATATTTTTCTGGGACAAAGATGGCGGACTTATCAAGGTTTCATTTCAAATTCATTTTTTTTTAAATTGTATATGAAAGCTAATTTTAATAATTTTAACGTCGCCATTTGAATGACGTCATAAATGTGTCCAGTCGCGTAACCAGAATGGCCACCAAATATTTTCAGCTGACCTAAAGTACTTGAAACTCAAAGTCGCTATCTTGTATCCGCAAAATCCCACGGACACAAAAATATGTCTGTAAAGGACCGAACTCAATAATCTGTATTTAAATATATCTATTGGTGATCAAAATTAAAAGATATACTTGCATTGCTTAGGGTTTGATTTCATTTCTGCTTGCTGTTTTCGTCGCCTCTCTGCCTTCTCCTCCTGGACACGTCTTTGTTCATTTTCCTATACACAACATGGCACAATTTTTTTTTTGAATTTTATAATCCTTAATTCAATAATTGCTTCATTGAGCAAATATTGCAATGTTGATATATTGCTGTTTTAAATAGTGAACTGCTTTGAGTTTTCTCTTTGTTCATATTTAAACTAAAACTTTCTGCTTAGTACATATTTCATTGATCAAAACAACAATCGTTACGTTCATAACAGTTCATAAAGTTCATGAGAGTTGCTTCAAGAACTGAATCAGTCATTTAATTAATCTAGAAAGTATGTCCCAACATGGGATGACCAGGTTTTCCTACATTTGTATAACCTACCTTTTCACATTGCTTAACTTTCTCACAGAATGTAGTCATGGTAGCAACACATTCCTCTATTTTGAAACTGCTCTCATTTTCACAAAAATGTTCTGCTAGCTTCTTCCCGAGCTCTGCAATCCTGTCCAGGCCAGCATTTAGTTCTTTTATTTCCGATTTCGCATCCTTTTATAACAATAAACATACAAATGTATTATAAATACATAAGATTTAAGAAAATTTAACAGCTAAATATACTTTGATGTTGACGATAATGTTAATTATCTAAGAATGGCATATGCATGTTATGAATATTTAATAACAGTTCAACGTGAAATCAAAAAGAAAGATGATTGCATCACTGTACAAAACAGTGAATGTTAACATTTTATTAAACAGTGATGAGGATATATAAAATGTTTGAGTAACTGTCAGAATGTGATACAATGTTTGGTAATTCAAATACTAAAAAACATTTCGAGTAAGAGTCTTTTACTAGAAATATGATCTGCAGAACTTTACATGTATGTTTATCAATAATTAGATATATTTTTTAAACATTAGCATAAATCAAAAGACGACCTTACGCCCACAAATGTTTGAAGCTGGTTCCTGACATCATCCGGACAAGTTTTGAGCTGATTTGCAAAATTGTTGATATTTTTCGAGGTTTGTTTTAATTCTGACGCCATGGCCTCCGTCGTGTACCTGTAATAAGGAATTGTAAATTATTCTAACTTACATTAATTTTGTGTACGAAGCAGAAAAAGAAAAAAACCTGAACCTTGAGTTCCTATGAGATTATCAATGTCCATTATACGGATTCTAGTGGGTATATATCACTGTCAGTGTTATGTGTATAGACAGTCAGTTTCATTAAAAAACGAAATAAAATATTATAGGTAAATCAAATATATATTTCCCAAACAAACATATGCTTAAATTTTCGTTCATCAATATACAAGAATGATCTGCAAGCAAAAAACTTAACAATCCATCCTGAAAGAGTTAGTTTAAAGAACGTCCATATACAGGAAATTATTACCGAGGTTAAGAAAATACATTGAATTAAGAGACAATTCTTGTATTCAGTGATGCTTTCCTTTGAAGAAGCATACGTTAAGAAATTTCCTAATTTAAGGAACGTTAATGATTGAATCTGGTACATACCTGGAAGCGGCCGACAAATCAGGCCACATTTCGTCTACAAATTTGAGATAGCCCTTGTTCTCTTTCAAGGCTTCGCTCACCAAATAATGTAATAGGGTCACTCGGGGCTTGTTGGCTCGGGTATCCATCAGCTTGTTCAGAGAACTGATCTTGAATCCCAGGGCGTTACCGGCATAGCCTCCCTATGGACAAATAAGATATATTTTACTACAGTGGTTGTGCCATTCACTGCTAATGACACTTATTTAACTGCGGTGGTTGTGCCATTCACTGCTGATGACACTTATTTAACTACGGTGGTTGTGCCATTCACTGCTGATGACACTTATTTAACTACGGTGGTTGTGCCATTCACTGCTGATGACACTTATTTAACTACGGTGGTTGTGCCATTCACTGCTGATGACACTTATTTAACTACGGTGGTTGTGCCATTCACTGCTGATGACACTTATTTAACTACGGTGGTTGTGCCATTCACTGCTGATGACACTTATTTAACTACGGTGGTTGTGCCATTCACTGCTGATGACACTTATTTAACTACGGTGGTTGTGCCATTCACTGCTGATGACACTTATTTAACTACGGTGGTTGTGCCATTCACTGCTGATGACACTTATTTTACTACAGTGGTTGTGCTATTCACTGCTGATGACACTTATTTAACTACGGTGGACACTTATTTCAATGTCCTTTTTAACGTGCAATCATTCATTATCTAGACCTGATATGCTTCGCCGTGTAACTAGATACATATGAAGACAAGCATCCTCGATATTTGAGGGGTTACGCCAGCTCTCGCTCTCTGCAACCCTGGAATATAACATAGGGAAATGGAAGGCTCAGTGCACGCTACCTTGTTGATGAGACATCTTTTGATCCTTTGATGTACATAAAAAAATATCGCGTTCGCGTAAAGGTAAAATCGACTAGCTTTGAAGTCGGATGTCGTTCTTCAAAGGACAGGCATCAGCCTAGCGATTTGTCGGATGTCTTTTACATCAGACCAATCAAATAGATAGCCATGTGCCTTCACTTTTGCTATGATAGGGGTGCAGAGAGCGTATGTGAGCGAAACCTATGGAGAATGAAGGAATAGGGACAAGTAAAATAGCCGAGCTGATATGTTATTTATCATTGTACAACTACACATACATTCAGATTAAAATACTATGGAAAGTGGGTCGGTCCAGTATCATTCTCCTCGTAAAAATATTATAGTAAAGTGATTCATTTGACAATTGACAGTGGTACAGATCATTCTGACCAACGTTTTTAAAATTCACAACTGCAAATGGTTTTTACAGAAATATTATCAGGAATTGTTATAGTGTTTATTTTAATTTGGCTTTTTTATGTAACAAAACAATGATAAAACCGTGTCACTAGTGATTCTGATAAAATCAATTATATAAAAAAATCCCTTTTTGTAGAATTACCTTCACATTCTGTACAATATATATGCAGGAGCGCACGAGTGAATATATACGTCCACGCAATAAATGAGTGCTTTCTTATTCGTTAGAAAAACACAAGTGTGTGGTCTTGCTTTTATCACATACCTTCCGTATTTGGTAGAGATCGATACAAAGATTTTATAAACTTTGATATTTTTTGCAAATACCGGGAACGTTTCAGATCGCTATGACAATGGGATTCCCAAGAAAAGTAGTTCCGGCTAGTAGGTAAATACAACATTCCGTATTGCACATGTGCAATCCAGGACGTTGTATTTCATGGTTTGAAAATTGCTTGTATTACTATAACAAGATTCAACAGGTAGGTGATAAAACATCTTATAGAACAGACTTTCACTAACACTTTTGTCCTGTTTGTTGTGCATAAATGAACTACTCACGGCGTTTAGGAAGTTGCCAGTATGGAGAATGAACCTTAAGAAGACCTTGAAGGACTCGTTGTCGAGGACGTCCTCACAGGCTCGGGTATAGGTCTTGATGTTTGGTCGAAGCATGTCGGTGGCCAATTTGAAGTCGTCTTTCATCACCATCCCCTCGATACGTTGACGATAGGCGGGCAGCTCAGCAAGAGTAAGGTAATATTTTTCTGCGTTTCCGAGCTTACTTTTATCGCCGTCATAAGCTTTGATACTGGTTATCTGTAAGTTTGAGGACAAAACATTTGTATTTGAGACATTAAATGTGGATGATGGTTATAGCAAATGACAATTTTCATCCATTACAGGAATACCAAAAGCAATGTCTTAGATTGGATGGGGGATTGCAAATGGCAACTTTCAGCCACTAAAGGAATACCAAAAGCAATGTCTTAGATTGGATGGGGGATTGCAAATGACAACTTTCATCCACTAAAGGAATACCAAAAGCAATGTCTTAGATTGGATGGGGGATTGCAAATGACAACTTTCATCCACTAAAGGAATACCAAAAGCAATGTCTTAGATTGGATGGGGGATTGCAAATGACAACTTTCATCCACTAAAGGAATACCAAAAGCAATGTCTTAGATTGGATGGTGGATAGCAAATGACAACTTTCATCCACTAAAGGAATACCAAAAGCAATGTCTTAGATTGGTTGGGGGATTGCAAATGACAACTTTCATCCACTAAAGGAATACCAAAAGCATTGTCTTAGATTGGATGGGGGATTGCAAATGACAACTGTCATCCACTACAGGTATTCAAAAAGCAATGTGTTAGATTGGATGAGGGATTACAAATGACAACTTTCATCCACTAAAGGAATACCAAAAGCAATGTCTTAGATTGGATGGTGTATTGCAAATGACAACTTTCATCCAATAATTAATTCGAAACGTCATATGTTAAAACATCTTAATCGCTTGATAACGATCAAAATAAAATCAAGATAGGGTATATTTTCCACATCTGAATCGCTTCTTAAACGATAAAAAACCCAATCAAGATAGGCTTTATTTTCGAAACATCCATTTTACCATTGATATAAAACGCAAATGAATATATGAAATAAAAATGGTGGTGGGTACATACATGATGAAATAAAACTCAATTATACGAAAGACAAAATCATGTTTTATGTATTGTTTCATTTTCGTTCTGTTTCAGTAAATCAATGGCTTATTAGTTAGTCCAATAACCACCAACACAGTTATTGACTCACTTCATCAGCTGTTGGAAGAATCTTCTGTAGTCCCCTGAGTCTCTCCAGTCCGAGCTGTTCCGTGTTCCCTTCGGATATCATGTGAAGGATATCTTTGTGACTGCACTTAAACTGCTTTAGGAATATGTTTACGTTCATGCTCCTCTGCATTTCCAGAATAATCACCTGGCGGTTTTCAAATAGAACATTCACTTTAACATGACATTAATTAATACAATGATTAGATATCTCATCTCTTTTATATAAATATATATTGAAATAATGACGAACATAAATCAAAACAAGTCAATCTATAAAGGTTTTGACTAAAGTAAGATAAGAATTTTGCATATTCTGAACAAGAGAACTATTTTTTTTCAAATCAAGGGACCTAACTCGTTGTACGTACCTCTTTTGGCACTTTGACTTTCTTCTCCTCCACAACTTTAACGGTCTTGGACTTTTGACAGAAAAGCTGTTCTATCGTCTCGTACTTCACCTTTATGGCATCGTCCATGTCAAGTACGTCCTTCCATACACTGTCATGGCCTACAACGATACATCATATACACTGTCCTGGTCTACAAGTATACGTAATATACAGCATCAGGGGCTACAGTGATACATAATTTACACTATCATGGCCTACAACGGTACATCATATACAGTATCGTGGCCTCCATACATGCTCGTGGCCTTCCACAGTACATGATATCAAATAACGTGACCTTCACAACAGTGCATTCTATACAGTATCGTAGCCTACTTGCTTCATCTTTGCCTATAACCATGAATAATATGCACTAAAGGGGCATAACATGGAGGTAGACATACACTATAATCGAATCATTGCAGGTCACAGTACATTGGTACCACCTAACATTCGCTTTCGTGGCCTTGAATGGTACATCATGATGTAAAATTTGCCATCAATGTATACATTAATTGTCGCCTATCACAATACGCAATAATACACATTGCTATTGCCGAAGTCGGTATCCAATATACAAAATCTACAACGTCATGACCTTCAACGGTAGCCATGGTAATAATATAACATTATACACTTACCACTTATGGTCTGGGGCGGGACCTTGGTCCAGTTGAACACCTTCATCTTGTGTTTGGGTTTAGGCGTCCACAGATGTTTAGCAGGTTGTTGATATGGAGAAAATGTCATATTGGCAGGCAAAGGTCGTATCTTTCCCATCCCTGGGGGTGGAGGTGGCGGAGGCACACCTCCCGGGGGTGGTGGTATCCCACCCATACCTGGCATTGGCGGCGGGGGAGGAGGTGGAGGGGCGGCCCCACCCATTCCTGGCATAGGTGGAGGAGGGGGCGGAGGTGGTGGAGCGGCCCCACCCATTCCTGGCATAGGTGGGGGCGGGGGTGGAGGTGGAGGGGCGGTTCCTCCCATTCCTGGCATGGGTGGGGGCGGGGGTGGAGGCGGAGGAGGTGCGAAGCCGCCTGGAACTGGAGGGGGTGGGGGAGGCGGTGGTGGTCCTGCAGTTCCCGGGACAGGTGGCGGCGGGGGAGGGGCGGGGATATGTAACCCTACATTATTTGATAAGGCATCAGGAATGTCATTCATCAGAATTCGCTTGATATGTTGTTTTTGCTGATATGATAATTTGGATGGAGTGTGACTACCACACAGCACACATGGGTCAGGAATGGTCTGTGGAGCGACCGCACGGGATAAAGAAGCTACCGTGCTGGTCAGTGGAGCGACCATACAGGTCAGTGGAGACTCCTTACAGGTAAGTGTCGTGTCTATTTCATTTGTAACACTTTTGGCCGGATTAGGACATGGCATAGATTCACCAGTAGAGGGAGACACGGCACTTGTGTCCGTATCACTGAAGTGGCCCACCTGTCCTCTGACCTTGTCAGTTTGTACACCTGTGGACACGGATGGGACTTTCATGGTGGAGGGAAACATGGATCCAACCAGTTCAGAGAACGAACGCTTTCCAACGGCATAAGTGTCCACCAAAATGGCTTTCCGCACAGTGGACTCCACAAAGTTCCACTGCAAATCGCTAAAAACGAGATCAGCAATATATGATGGCTGTAATCGTATTCAAATGGGGAGCCTGAAGTTGGTTCCTAGTTCCGTTTATCTTCCTAGTTCCGTTTAAGATAAACGGAACTTGGAACCAGATGCTAGTTCCGTTTAAGAAAAACTAGTTTATCTTAAACGGAACTAGGGTCCGGTTCATTCAATGACAATCTTGTATGGTAATGCTATTCCAATGACAAACTTGTATGGTAATGTTATTCCAACTGCAATCGCCTTCTTTGAAATCATATATAATTGTATATCGAAGCTTAATTTGCAATCGTAATCGTTGATAACCCGATATTTAATCGTATTTCAGAGGTAATCGTATATCAAACAGCGTTCATTAGTATTACTGAATTGCTATAATAAAGGATTCATTAGAAATGACATTCTAGGGCTTTCATGCCGACTATTTTCAGCAAGATATACATAAAATAATCCTTTCTAATCGAATATCTTTCGTTACATTATAACATATCATGATATCCACGAAAAGCCCGTAAAAACGAGCGAAATTATTGATGAGTGCAGGCGATAACATACCACAGTTAGGGAAACAAGCGTTCCCTGATTTACAATAGTACACGATGCCAGTACATAGCTACCTGATCGGGCTCTGGGGATCAATCTGTAGAAGTAACTGTAGCACGTTCATGAACACGTCCGAATGAGGAGTGTTATACACCTGCAAATAAAAACAACAAGTACAGAGCTGTAACCACATGCATGTACATAGGGACCAGACACCTACTGAGTATGTATTAGTATTGCAGTGCGTCTGTCCCTAGGTCCGTATACCAAAATCACAACGGGAATTGTACAACTTTGTCATGGTATCTGTATATAAATAGAAAACAAGATCTTAATTAATCAAATTTTGTTTCGATTTTGGTATCAAGGTATTCCGTCTTTGCGTATTGCAGAGTTATCTTCTCGTTGGAGCAGGTATTGATTGTTACGTCACTTGTTTGTGAGAGTAACGTCATCAATTTTTGAGAAAACGACGTAATTTTCTCACAAAAACCAATGACGTAACAATCAATACCTGCTCCCAAGAGAAGATAACTCTGCAATACGCAAAGATGGAAAACCATTTTCTATGCAGCAATGCTTTAATTTTCAAACGGAAGCAAATGTATGTACACCAAAACTACTTGTATTTGTTCTAGCATTTCAGTTTTTAATCAAAATGTCATATGTAGGTGCCCACATGTGATAGGTCGTATAAAATCAAGGTCCACTTTAAAATTACATCTCTATTGAACGTCCATAGCTGACTCATATGATACGTCTGTGCTTTTGTCATAAAATGATGTGTTTTTGTCATAAAATATACCGAACATATCAATGTATCGAATGAGACTGTTCTAGCGTTCCTTACATCTTACTAAAAAATAAGGAAGGGCTACTCAGAGATACCTACAGTGACATCGCCGAAAAATTGATAAGAGAAAAAATAAGATTGGGTTCCAACATGTTGCAATGGTGCAGCAAATCATGTTCGTCCTTCCAATGTCCCCTCAGTAGAAGTAACAGGGAAAGAAACCTATTCTGTAGCTGGCCCGTATCGATCGCATCATACGATCATATAGTGTAATATAGCAGGTCTATTTTTTCCCCGAATTTACATGGGAAACTAAAGTTAAGATAGCAAACCTATTCTAATTAAGCTGTAGAAGAAATAAACCACTGTATATACTATAGTTGGTGTACCTTCTGGAGGACAGCGTTAAACACGTCCCTGTGGTCATTTAGGTTGACGATTTCAGGGTTCAGCTCGGCGTATTCATCATCATCCGACTGCTTCTCCTCGTCGAACACGTCGCACTGAATAACCAAGTCATCGTCGTCCTCATTCCGAAGGTTGTTGATAATATCCAACAAGTTCAAGCCTGTGGAAATGTTAGAGAAGCAGAAAAAATCAATGACGATTTGTTCCGAAGTTTAGCATATTTGGTAACAAATTTGTTTAGTAAGTTTGTCGTACAATCACGGTTTCCGGTAGGCTTTTGTCAGTTGGTATATCCCGTTTTAGCGCTTTGTCATTTTCGATTTCTTATGCATAAATATTAACATAGGAACAAAGAATTGCACAGAGTAAAATATCTAAACGGGTGGCTCATTATGTGGCTTTCAGAAGGATAAGAAATGTGTAAATTACTTCAATTCGCAGTTTACCTATAAATTCGTTCCGTACGCATGTGCGGTCCTCCAATGCTTCCGTGGCAACGAGGATACAGTTGATGAACCCCATGATGGTAGTTTTGTACGGAACCAGTTCCGCCATGCGCAGTTCATTGACAATGAGACTAAACCGGTACCGCTGTTTCTTCAGTGACTGAAATGAAACAAAAACATTACAGTACGGAGGTGTTGTGTAATCGGGTGGCGCAGTGGATAGCGTACTTGCCTTTCACCAAGGCGGCCGGGGTTCCATTCCCCGATTGGACTTGAAAGGGAATGGGGTTACCAGCCCGACAACGCGGGTTTTCTCCATGTACTCCGGTTTCCTCCCACATTAAGACCGGTGCTAACATGTGGGCCAAGAAGAGTGATTACTATAAGTTGAAATAACTTGTTTCATATAATTGTTGTGAAATATTGAAGTTTATATGTTTATACAGAGGTTTTATTCTATCATAGGACTGTTAACTCTTTTGCTGTCAGCTCAGTACCATTACAATCAAATTACAAGAGGGTGCTTAAAGACCGATACTGTTTATCGGGTCTTTTCCTGAAGTGCAGTTTTCTGAAAAATGGTTTTTACCTACTTATGCTACTTAAACGACTAGAAATAGAAATTAAATCATGAAAACACGAAAACGTTTATTCGCCAATTTGGAGATGTCACAGCTGTGCAGTACCATACTTTGTACACAGTATGACTTATGAGGCTGTTACTGACCGATTTAAGATAGTTTGCGGTATCTACGTCAGAACAAACGTTACTCTAGGGATCTTGGGCATTGTGTTACGGAATAAAACATGACAATTCCAAATGTCTTCGACAGCAATGCCGGCTGACCTTCTGATAAATTGTCTAGAAGCCTTTTGATCTGCCACAGTGTTGTGTCCGTCAGGAAGCGCGGCTGGATCTGACCAACATACTCAGTATTAATAGATAGGGCCTACGTACGCGTCTATACGCGCCATGATTCCCTGACGATGGAAACAGCATTTACTTTGTCCAAATGTGATGTAGACCACGACACATTCCTAATAAAAAACCTATTTAGAAAACATATTTGACTAGAACGTATTTATCGCTGCTTGCCTTGTCTATGGTTTTGCTTCCAAAAGGAATATGGTAATTTAATGAGATATTCACCGACGAATCTCAAAAGATCCCTCTCTACCACTCTGACGTCTTAATAAATAATCAATGTTGCTTTATTTCAGTCATGATGTTATTTCAAGCCTCATGACAGCTTAACCAGAGATTTTTGTTCTCAACGTGGGAGCTTCAGTGACAGTTAATCTTATTTTAAACAAATCTTATTGTATAAAATATACCAAAGGAACGTCGAAAGTCATTCTGTGTTCAACAAAGGTCAAACAACTGTATTATAAAGCGAGAATAAGCGATTGAGAGATATAGCAAGTTTGTTCATGGTCCCGGGAACTTGCTATATCTCAAAATGTCTTGCCGTTCCTGTTTTATGAAGCCGACACATTTTAGCAAGCAACCGTTTTCCAACCCTTTTACCCCCAATTTTTTTATCGAATGCCTTATTTACTCTTTCAATGTCTTAAATTAATAACAACTGGCTGGGATCATGTCAGTACTAGCTTCGCCCAACTATCACGTGATTGGCGTAGTCATTTCCGAGAGGAAAATTAAGGTATTTTCTAATGTTATATTCTGGATCCCCGAAAACTGCCGAGGGTGTTAGCATGCAGTGTTTTAGTTTTCGAATTACCACACGCCTTAGAGAAAACTAACTTCCTGTTTGTTGAGACTTTGTCTCATAATCCCTTTAGTATGACACAGGTTGCTTGTTAAATGTCACATATGTCCTCGACGTTTATGTTACATTTATATACACAGTGTGTATATATGATGTCTTGAAAGTTTGACAGATTTTATTGTCTGCACTGTCACTCTGACCTCTTTGCTTCAGATATTTGTATTCAGTATACATCGTTGTAAAACTGTCACCACCTAACATAACCATACCGTGAAATGATACAATAAACTCGGTTAATGATCGCAGGAAGCTTTATAAGTGGGTTCTTGTGCGGAAAATGTGTACAAGGTCAAGTGCACTAACACAACGTATACTTGTTATAACTAGTTTAAACATGAATACTTGTGAATCATTTAGGGCACTGATGTAACGCACTTGAACGGGAAACTTTCTACAACGTTAGATGCATACAAAGTCCATGTCTGATATGTCTGCAGTGCTTGGAAAGTGCAGAGAAATATATATTTATTTAACATGATCTAAAGATAACATTTCAAATATAAAGGTTTCTCAATTTTATCTTTTAAATAATTAATGTAATTCCTGAATTTTGTCCACTCCATAGCTTCAATACATGTTTTCCATTTCAACAAGATTGTTAATGTGCCATGATGATGATGTTGCTTTGGTCATCATGACAAGGATGATGATGATGATGATGATGATGATGAATAATGGTGAAGGATATGAGTGTGAAGCTGAAACATGAGTAGATGTAATTGTTTGTGAGAGAGAGTGTATGTATATGGCATGTAAATGAACTGTAAATGTCAAAAAAGGCTTAAAAAAAGTATCAATCATGACCAAAACACAATCGAATTATCGAAAAAAAGAAAGATTTTTAATGTTTTAAATAAAAAAAAAATCGTCTCATTGTTTCAAGTTCCACGGTAATATATCATCTTAAATTTCTGAAAAGCTTTCGGGTTCAATTTCATTCCTTTCCGTAAATCGGCTCTGGTTTTTTTTTATATTTATCTGTGATGTACGCAAGACCTATAAAATAAATGACAACTCTTATATACTCTCCCGATCAAACCCAAAAACTTTTTTTTCTGAGGGCATTTAAAGTATCGCTCACATTCATTTCTATATACCGACTGTATTCATTTCAAAGAGGAACTAGCATCAGCGAGTGCTGATAGTAATGTATCCCCTTACTGCCGTTTACCAAATAATTCCTCTTTTTGTTCTCAGCTGAGGCAACTGCAATTGATCTGACTTTCGATAAAATTGAAAACAATAAAATGGAAAGAGCAATTAGCTGTTCCGACTCGTTGTCAGTGCTACAAATTATAAAATTCGATGCTTTAAGAATATTTTTATACAGAACATTATATTTCTTGTAAACAGAATGTTCTGTCACCTGATATTAATTTGGACACCGGGTCACGTGGGAAATGAGACGGTACATGTAGGGCTGCTAGAGCAGCACTGTACCTACAATCGGAAAACAACAAACTGCCTTCCTCTGATTTTAAAACATTCCATAGCAAATTCTATCAAAACGAATTAGCATCCTAAATGGCATAAAGAAATTAAGAATACGTTATTTCCTATTCATTCCAATGTGGGTTCATGTGCAACAAGAACAGTAGACCGCGAGGAGGAAGTTGTCCTTTCATTACAAAAGTTTCCTTTTGCTTGCTAGTAGTCAACCATTTACTGTCAAACATTTTATGATCGCATGCGTCGACTTTAAACATACGCATGTACTATTTTATGCTATAACAACTATGCAAATTTTGTTTGATAGTGTCTTTGCAATTACTATATGATTATTTTGCATGCAATTAGTCCGAACAATAAGATATATGACACATATTTTACAACCAATCTGTTTGCCATTGATCTTTTTTGCCGTTTTAAAATTTTCAATCTTGTAGCTTTAGTTGGATGTGTTCCTTTGTGTGAACGTCTACGTTTAGTGATTGTTTCGCCCTAAATGACTCAAATTGTCGGTGGGTCGTAGGTAAAAACGTAATCTCACCTTGTAGGACTCCAACGCGTCTAGGGCCAGCACATAACCCTCGGACGAGTACACACAGAGGGCGGACAGTAGTTCGAATACTTGCTTCTTTACCATGACATTGTTTGTATCCAGTGCTGAAACGACACAACACATACTATTGTAAATACAGTGTAAAACAGAAAATAGTCAAACAATATACACAAACAAAAACTTTTAAAACGAATGTATAGATTTACATAAAACACATGTAAATGTCGCCGCATTGTTTCCCGTTAGGTGTTTCAAGTCAACTGGTGCCGATAAGGTTATTAGTAAACAACCAGCATTGCTAATTAATTTGCATGCTCTTATCTGGGATGTACATATATGGATTATTCAGCATGACCAAGACATATACTTCCTTGATTTAAAAGTGAAACCTTTCTTTTTAATGAAGTTATGCATGAAATGATTAAAGGCGCTTTCATTAACTGCAACACCCCTTCCCTCACGTCTTTACAATACAATAGACGCTCCCGGATACCCGTCCTTAAAGAATTCGTCTTGCATTGATCGATCAAGATTTACTTTAAATTCAAAGCACAATTAACTCAAATATGTAAATTAGGGATTTCCGACTGAAGGCTGATCCTCTGATGTATACACTCTAGACAATACAGGGATATCCATACTACGGTGGATGTATCTATACAGCCATTTGTTACCAAGGAAACGCGTATTTTAACGTATTTATGTAATTGGCATACGGTATGAACGTGAGTAGTCAAGGGATCCGTGCCTCCCCTTTGCCCGGAATGCGAGTTCATCAAACTGGTCGCCACATTTAAATATTGGTCATATTAACAACTAACGTCACTTGTTTTACCTAGTTAAGTGTCATATTAACATGTAACGTCACTTGTTAAACCTGGTTAAGCGTCATATTAACAGCTAACGTCACTTATTTTACCTGGTTAAGCGACATATTAACAGATATCGTCACATAGAGACGTTTGTTCTCAAGTAACTGAAACTGCTTTTCTCTTTTATAACTGTATCATACACTGTAACTGTGGTGTTATACAATTTGTGATCTTCGGACATAGATGTACTTATGTCCATAGCGCGAGTGTAGGGGAGGATATTTCGAGAAATTGGCCTGGTTATCTTAATTCACCAGCGAGAGAATGTTAAATCCATTTGATGGTATTAACATTTAACGCTAGTTTAGGGCTTTTTACACACATGGTTGTATAGTGTTAACAGCTAATACACTTGTTTTACCTGGTTAAGCGTCATATTAACAGCTAACGTCACTTGTTTTACCTGGTTAAGCGTCATATTAACAGCTAACGTCACTTGTTTTACCTGGTTAAGCGTCATATTAACAGCTAACGTAACTTGTTTTACCTGGTTAAGCGTCATATTAACAGCTAACGTCGATTGTTTCAAATGGTAAAACATCATATTAACAGCAAACGTCACTTGTCTTACCTGGTTAAGCGTCATAATAACAGGTAACGTCACTTGTTTTACCTGTTTAAGCGTCATATTAACAGCTAACGTCACTTGTTTTACCTGGTTAAGCGTCATATTAACAGCTAACGTCACTTGTTTTACCTGGTTAAGTGTCATAAAAACATGTAACGTCACTTGTTTAACCTGGTTAAGCGTCATATTTACAGCTAACGTCACTTATTTCACCTGGTTAAGCGTCATATTAACAGATAACGTCACTTAGAGACGTTTGTTCTCAAGTAACTGAAACTGCTTTTCTCTTTTATAACTGTATCATAACTGTGTTGTTATACAATTTGTGATCTTCAGACATAGATGTACTTATATCCATAGCGCGAGTGTAGGGGAGGATATTTCGAGAAATTGGCCTGGTTATCTTAAATTTGATGGTATTAAAATTTAACGCTAGTTTAGGGATTTTTACACACATGGTTGTATAGTGTAAAGAAGAACTTAAACGACGGCCCTGTGCCGCCACAACGTTCACTTCAAAGACATTAAAAACGAAATTGTTCCAACTACTCGTCAACTTTGTGCTAAAATATTAATGTAAATACTCATTATGTTCCCCATCAAATTGACGTAACTCGCTGACGAAAATTTCATTATTGTCATAAAGCGGTATTTCCTGCCAATTTAATCAACATCTGAACCCTTGTTACCGTATTTAAAATCGCCTAACGACTTCCCCGATATCTATTTTTTTTGTGAAATTCTAGATGGCTATTACTCTTTACGGTACCAGCAGAGGACATCCGAAGAACTCATTTCCTGTCGCTGGAGCATGATGATTAAGATGAAGTATGTGGAAAGTCGCGGGGACACAAATCAATAACAGAGGAATACATCACCAGGAACACATCGCTACCTCTATCACTGTCAGGAGTATTGTCTATTTCTGGAGAAGTTAAATTCGCCATTCACATTGTAAGTAATGTGCGTGTCACGAGGCTTCCGTCGTTTTGCAGATCTTATAACAAGAGATATATTCAGACCGTAATATCAAAGTTTGATATAAAAGTCCTGTTTATCTTCACTCCCACACACGTCGTTCAAAACGAAAAACTGATCCGATCTTAATATCCTTTATATCTTCTTGAAAAATAACTTTAAACCTATCGTAATATGGACAATATCTCTGTCTCTTTCGGTTGTACAAACTGATCACTCTAGACGATTTAAATGGAAGGCGTGCAATTGTTTTGCTTTGTTCAAAATATTTATTCGTCATTCGATCTTCTTATATATAAAACCGGAGCAAACAAAACTTGGTAATAAATCAACTGTTTCAAACGTGTATCGGGATTATTAACTGATGATAAAAACGACTGGTTTTTAGAGACAGTACCCTTGTCTGTTCCCAATATGGACCGTAAGTGGGCATATTCTTTGAAATAAAAATAAAATAAAATAACAATATAAAGAAATAGTGTTTGTTGGTTTATGTTTTACGTCCTGTTTACAGCTATGGTCATTTAAGGACGTGCCAGGTTTTGGTGGTGGAGGAAAACAGGAGTACCTGGAGAAAAACCACCGACCTATAGCCGGTACCTGGCGACTGCCCCACGTAGGCCTCGAACCCGCGACCCGGTGGTTGAGGGCTCATGGTAGCAGAATCTTACGATGCCTTTACCATTTGGCCATCGCGACCCCCCATATTGTGTATCCGGCTCATTATTGCTGAATGTCGAAAAAAAACCAAAAAAAACAACAACAACAAAAACCAACAACAACAAAAACTGTTGTCTTAGAAACAGTATAACCAAAAATACAAATGTTAACCAAACTGAGGACGAACGTACTGACAAAGGATGTACCCATCTCATTACATTTGTACATTTCCCTTGATTATAATTCTGTGTCATTTAAAAAGAAATAAAGGTTCATGATAACTTCCATGCTACATTGCTAAGGAAGAGATATAATACTCGATTGAATAAAAAATGATAAATGATATATTATATAAATCTGTCATTTATTGATCATTCTAGAAACACGAGCAGAGCAATATGTCTCCGATTTTCAATTGTCATGGTTTTCAGTAATGGGTTTCATAACTAGTGCCGTATTCAATCCATTATCAAACCGTGGCCATCCCTGTTAATTGGATTTTCTCTGCCTGTATCATGTTTACATCGGAACTTGCGGGAATACTTCCGTGTTCGTGAGACGTTTTTATTGCAAAACCCACCGTATAAATTACGTATTTGGCATCTTGTTTTAACGTATATAATATTTATATTAGTACTGTAATCCGACACATGATAACAAGACTTACGCGGTTTATATTGGCAATACAGACTGAACGTTGATAGATCTTGATACAGAGATTCGAAATAAGAATAACAAGAGTGCCACGGGGCTTGTATCGCCCAAGAGACATTGAATAGGTAATTTATTTTTTTCTAAGATTTTTTCACATCTGATCAATCGAACATTGAATCAATTTTAATGTGATCTATTTTCACAAAATAAGAGACCTTACCGGCATTACGCTATATGAAAAATAGCAAATACCACGATACAAGACTTTGTGGTTCTGAAGAAGAAGTTGTACATAAGTTTTCGACACTTTGTTGCTCAATGTCAGTTATTTGACTAAACTTGCTAATGATTTACATTTTAATCTAGCAAGCTGCATGCATAGTACCAAAACAAATCATGACTGATGAAAGCAGGATTACCGTGTGTGTCGAAATGAATGAAGTGTTTATGTGGCAAAAAAAAAACAAATCTCCAAAAGCATTACTATAGATTTTAATCCATTTGAAGAAGTATCCAAGACAACGTCGTTGCTATACAGATTTATGTCTTAGTCATGTATCTTTTAAACATCAACGAGCATACGACATGTAACAATTATGAATGTACCCCCGGAAATAGGTTTTAACTTGATTCCATGTAACAGAAACAGTTTAACACAAGGCGATGTAATAATTGACACGAAACACGGACTTGGTAGGACTGACGTGTATCGTTCAATCTCGATCGATTGGCGGCGGTTAAGGTCAACATCGTGTACATGTAGAGAGAAAATAGTGATGCATTCAATCTGTTATGACCTACAGTTGTACAACTACTGACGTAAAGCTACTGCATATAGCATGCTCATTGTGACAGTTATAACACCTGAACATAAACCAATGTTGTGAAATATTGGAAATTACTACCTTAAATAGCGTGTTCATCTTGAACACCCAAACATGAACTACAACCCCTGATGGCGTGTTCACTCTGATATAACACGTGTACATGAACAACTGATGTAAAATATTGGAACATTAAACTACCTCAAACAGCTTGGCGTGTTCACTTTAATATAGCACATGAAAATTAACTACTTTTGTAGATTATTGGAACATAAAACTACTTCAGAAAGCGTGTTCATCGTCAACACCCAAACATGAAGTTTAACTACTACGGAAGATGGGTAGTTTACACTGTCATAACACCCGAGCATGAACTACTGTTGTGAAATATAAGAAACGGAAACTACCTCAGATGGCGTATGACGATACGTACAATGTTTATGAAACAAAAGTTGCCGGAAATACTTTCAACAGAAATTGAATGGTGTCACCTGTGAACATCACGTGTCTGTGACGTACGTGGACGGACTCGTCAGTACATTAATGATTTATTGTATGTCCGACAAATTATCACCCAAAATTTAATTTAAAAGAGAAAGCAGTATTCTTTAATACAATATATAGTATACGGGTGCAGTAGTCGTATTTGGCGGTCTTCATTATATAAATAAATAATCTTTATTTAACGTCTTGTACATTGTCAACAAAAAACATAGGCTCTGTAGAGCTTTTATTACGACGCTGCTGAGGGAACAAATGATGTTTTCGTGGTGAAGGAAAACTCAAGAGGGAAAACACCGTGCCATCGGATCGGAGGGATAACAACTAACCCTATCAGATTTCACTCTCTTTTCCGCCACCGCTGGGGATCGAACCGAAATTTTTGGAAGAGTGAGTGGTTTGAAGGTCACATTTGATTTCACACAGTTGTAGACTGTGAGCGTAATACCCCGTTCACACATAGACGCCACTTCTACTACGATGGAAAAGTGGCCAATTGTGGGTCAAACAATTATAGTATGCAATAAAACTTAAGTTAGCTGTGTCCAATACTTTTCGAAAGATATTTCGATCTATTCTTTGTCCCCTCTCTTACCTACAATTCTTTCTTGTCATATGTATTTTTAAGTAGCTCATTGCGTGATATGTATTGTAATCAATTAGTTTTTGTCGAAGAGGACGTCAATAAGTTGTCCAATTCGTTTGCAGCATCTGTTATTTGCAATAAAATATGTTTAAATCGAAGAAGCTGCACGCTCTCCCCACGCTTATTTTGAAAGTGCAAAAAATAAGCGTAACCGGGTCGTGGCCAACACAAAAAGGGGCAAAGTCTTATAAAGAACGTAGTAGGAATGCCATTATCGTACAAGCAGCGCGATAGCATCGTGGTGAGATATCTGTGGTCGTAATAAAAACGCAGCACCGTCGGCAACTAATTCGAACCGTTTTAATTACGTTTTAATTTTTTACGCTTCATCGTTCATCTTCGAAGTTGGAGAAGAACTTGAAAAATGCTTGAACACCCCCGATGTATATAGACATCACCACAAATCGCACTAGAAGCGTATTATGGTCATCACCAGCTTAGCGACATCGTCCTACAGACTTCTAGGTCTGTGCTACAACGTAGTATGGTCATGTACATTGTACGTCGTAGCGGCAACGTAGTAGAAACGACCGCTTGGTCGGCATTAGTCTAGGTGTAATCGTAGCGGCAGTGAGTCAGCAGCGCTTTTGACGTAGAAGCATCGCAGTACAGTCGTGATGTAGTCTTTTGTTTCCCAAATTGCGGGATATTGACGGCGATAATGCCCCGATTTGATAATTTCTTTTTCAGATCGGGGATGATCGGGGTGATCGTCATGGTCTTTGTAAGGTCGCAGAGCTGTGTGAACGGGGTATTAGGGATCACGACTACCAAGGTACCCATTCGTTGCAACACTGCAGTGAACGATTCACTGTTCTAAGGCTACACCCAAAATGTCTGCTAACTTTTACGTTGCGTCACTCCTGCACGGAGCACACCAATAGTCTGCTCTCTCTATACTTTAGACAACCACAGCATTGCGTAATTGGATCGCCTTACAGCAATCCCAGGCCACTTTCCTTCATTGCGTTTCAAACTGTCGGACTGGTTCGACCAGAGATGTTAGTTTATGAAATAGGGACAGACCTCATGGTTTGATGTTGCTGTCTATCAGGCTTTGGCAAAAAAAACATGGCCTGCATTAACATGTGCTGATCCTTCGGGTTTTACCACTTACGTGTAAATATTACATTTGAAAAATTGACATACCGGTTTATCCGCATAAACGAATAGGCCTCAAGTGAGCGTTCACCTTGGAAAGGGTTTGGGAGAAAGTAATTATTGTCTCATTCAAATAAGGTTTTACTTTACTGTGCACGAAACAAATGTGTAAACATCCGTTTTGAGCAACTTGATGGTCGGCAATTTTCACACAAAGACCGCTATCAGATACAAGCCTCATTCCAAAACTAGGGCTGCATCGATACATCAACATGACGATACGATACGTATCACAATACTGTAGTCACGATACAAATAGTCACAGTTGAAGAAAACAATAAAGATATGTTGTTAATTTTAATGGCGATATTACAACTGGAAATAGATTTAGTAAAAAACGGGCATGATTTTAAAGTTTCACACAATTCACGTCTTTCAACGTGCATGCCGAACTGGAGCTGGCACTCGCCATGTTGGAACCGATACGAGTAGACTTAGATAAACGACACAATCCCGAAAATATCGTAGGTGTTTCGTAACCTCCTAAAACGTTGTGTATCGTACCGTATTCAAAATATAGCGATATATCGTCGTACGATAGTTCGTTACATACCTACCAAGTGCGCAAGCCAATGAAATACCGTTTTATAATCTTACCCTTTGTGTTGATTTTTTTTCTGTCTCAAATCCAAATTGAGGGAAATATTTCATTACTCAAAATGGTCTTTTGCTGCCAAGACACAAAACCCCAAACAAACAGTTATTATGTTATATACATATGCCATTTTAACAGGCGCGAACTGATGTACTAAATACATGACAACGTTAGGGACGACCACTAACTCTATAGGAGTGCATGACAGAATTTTAAAATAAATAATATGGCCTTGCCATCGGGAAAATAGATAAATAGATCTGATTCCTGGAAACGCGCGAGCATGTATGCGCTCGACTCGCTTGCCAGAATCAGACAAAGGATTTCAGAGGTTATTGACATTTACGAAGGTATTCCTTCACCAGGATTCTTAACTCAGTATGCTGTATATTTCAGGCAATGGTGTTTTAAAACAGGATGAGGTCCATATGGTCTTTACGGGAAATACTAGCCTCGTCTGTCAATACACCTATAATATAATCAAATTTGCTAACTCTGTCGCCAGAGTAAAAACATGCGCTTTTGTCAAAGCCGTTTATAATATGACGCCGGGAGCAGTTTAGATCTACAGAAAAATAATTGTCTTTAATTTGATGTATGATTTTGCTATATATCATGCCGTCCAATTTTCGGTAGACCTCGGGATGACACGCTAAATCTCTAGTGGGTAGCGCTTAACACACGGCATGTACGCTTTTCAATGTCAGTACAGTGGTTCTTTCAAGCTGACGAGGCTGACGATCGAAAATCTGAACAGAGCCTGCCATTTTCTCTAACTTTTGTGACCTCGGCGCTGATTGGCTTCTAAATCTAACGGACCAGTCAGCGCCGAGGTCACAAAAGTAAGAGAAAATGACAGGCTCTGTTTAGATTTTCGATCGTCAGCCTGACCAGCTTGAAAACTGGACTCGGGCGTCCGACATGCTAATGTAATGGTATGAACTTTAATACAAGTAAGTTTGTTTCCTATCGTAGAAACACTGTACTCACATTGAATAACGTACACGTACGTGGCGTGTGTTAGGCGCTACCCACTAGAGATTTAGCGCGTCAACCCGAGGACAGCACAGTGTCCGACCAACTGAAATTCTACCATTTTTCGATGTTTCATGAAGTCTACCGAAAATTATACTGTATGATATATGGCATATCAACCACCAAATTAAAGAAAAATACTTTCCTGTCGATCTCAACTGCTCCCGGCGTCATATTTTGAACGGTAATGACAAAATCGCATGTTTTCTGGAACGGGGTCATTTTACTCTGGGGACAGAGTTAGCAAGCTGGATTATATTATAGGTGTATTGACAGACGAGGCTAGAACCTGTGGGGAAAACAATTTCCTGAAACTGTTGTCTTGTTTGGTTTTATGAATGTACTCTAAAAATATTGGTATTCATAATTTATAATATCGCATCATTTTATAGTGGGAAATGAATATTCTTCCTTAATTTATTCGGACAGTAGATAAAATTATAGATTATTTTCGTAATTACTCTTCACAATTGATATACCCTTTTTTGCTAGCCCTCCCCTCTCAGATTTAAATATATAGCTATAGTTATTTTTGAAAATTGTATAACGGTATTGTTTAAATATAGCCTTCATTGATAGCCCGTCTGTAGATAATAGATTATCATTGGTATCGTTGTCACTCGTTCTAATGTACGAGTCGTTATTTGAAACACCAAACTATATATGTCAAAGGACAATGTAAATATCATCAGCATTGCTCCCTTGACTAGTTACACGATGGCAGATCACCAAGTACATCATTAACAAAAGTCAGAGACTTAACAACTGTACTTAAATCAGATCTTAAGTATATATGGTACTTTTGTAAACACATTTCTCTGTAAAACGTTCCTAAACAGGAATTTGCGGATGCAGAAAACGATTCTGTATAATACCATATTCTTATCCTTAAAGTTTCAGCAGTGCTGTAAATGGACACTCGACGAATTGGAATTGTATACATATTACATGAAATAAATTACCACTGAATAGCTATTGACAAATTGTGTATGGCACAAAACACCGCCATGATTATTAAAAACGTTGCACTTCATATACTAGCCATAACACTATTCAAATGCTTGATTTCTACTGATATTGAACAACAAATAAAGAAGCTGATATCTTGATTTTCTAAAAAAGCAGCACCAAAAGATATAACAAAAGATCAGTAAAATAAACCTTATTGGCGCAATGTAACTATTAGGAAGTTTAGAATGCGGTACCTTTAGCGAACCCGTGGTGACATCGCCGGCCTATAAGACATCCAAGTCCTAGAGACGAGTTCATCACTGTTCGAATGCACATAACACATTCCAGCATCAGCACCATATTAGCAAATCGCCCAGGGTAACGCCCCAGATTACTTAAACATTCAAAAAGCAACTCCAAACCAGCATGATGCAAGAATTCCTCCATACAATTAGTTTTAGTGTTTTTTAAAACTTTTCTCAACTCGCAAAAGTGTATTACTGATGGATTTTTCAATAAATAAACACATGGTGTCTTTGTCATTTGAATAGTCTGGACAGCTGTTGCTAAAGAAACGTCCGACCTTGACCTCTGACGGAAGAACTTCCGAGGACTTACTTCCGGTTCATCGATTTCGATTTCTATATCGGAAAGAGACATCTTCAAGTGATTTCCCAGTCAATAATCGGTTTCTTTAAGAAATATTTTAAGATTAGTTTCCAGAATATACGAATCGGTAGAAATCATCACATGTATTTCAACATTCGACGGACTGCTTATTTCCACTAGAATGTCATGCCGAAAATTTGGAGAACAAATGTCGCATTGCAGAAATTCTATCAATATCAAGTTGGGTTGGCGCCAGTTTAACAACTCCGCTACTGGGATAACGTGTCATCTCTACAGACTCACATAGGCAGTATGACATTGACGATAGAACATATTCCCTGACGAAAACAATCCTGCTGTTGTTACAAAGCTTGCTCCTGTCAAACTAGGTCACTCTTCAACTCTGGAAAACCCTTTCCAGGACGTTTTATATCTGAATGTTGATGAAGATATCGGCATATCCGGTTTTACAAGTACATATGTGGTATTTTGTCTATTCTGTAGCGCCTTAAACCATAGAGATGTTTGCATTATTAAACAGTCGTAGAATTTCCCGCTCTGACTCTGGCGCTGCTATACGGCGAGTGCATGCCACAGGCGGGGAGCAGGGACGAAGTAGCAACTGTTTGGAAGAGAACATCTTCAGAGAAAAACAGTATTTTCCTGTGCACGCCATGCCGGTAATAGTTATTATCAAACATCATCTGCGAGCATCAGAGAGCACTTGAATATATACATTGTAATATGAAACTCGCGAGATTGGGTATAAAGGACTACCAATTAAACGAGTCAAGATACTGTGTCCACGTATCAGGTTTCACGTAAGAAAAGGAAGGAAATCTGATATCTAACATTTTAGTTATATGTGGTCTTCCGTACTGAGCGATTTATAGATGGAAATCACCAGTATAAGTAAAATATCATAAAGTGACATGATGTTTGACGCTGTATTAGTTATAAAAGAGCATTTATGTTTGAAATTGTAATAACTACCACTGTATTGTTATTGAGAGGTAATTGTATTTGTAGTTCAAACAATTGATGTATTGGCAATAAGTGGCCATCAGCGATGGGGTTATAATGATATATTGGCAATGATTGACCATTACTTATGGGGTAATAATGCCATATTGGTAATGATTGGCCATTAATGATGGGGTTATAATGCCATATTGGCAATGATTGGCAATTAATGATTGGGTTATAATGAAATATTAGTAATGGAAACCATTAATGGTGGGGTTATAGTGACATTGGCAATGAGTAGCCATCAGTGATTGGGTTATAATGGAAATTTGGCAATAATTGGCAAATTAATGATGGTATTATAATGCCATATTGGCAATGATTGGCCATTAACGATTGGGATATAATAACATATTGGCAATGACTGGTTATTTACGATGGAGTTATAATAACATATTGGTAATGATTTGGCATTAATGATGGGGTTATAATGCCATATTGGCGATGGTGGCCATTAATGATGGGATTATAATGACATATTGGCAAGGATTGGCCATTAATAATGGTGTTGTAAAGACATTAGCAATGATTCGCATTTATTGAAGGGATTATAATGACGTTTTGTCAATGACTGGCTATTAACGATGGCGTTGTAAAGACGTTTAGGCAATAATTGGCCATCATTGTTGTGGTTATAATGACGTTGTATTAACAATGATCCGCCATTTTGTTTTTGGTTTTGACGACGTTGTATTCCTATAGAGCAGGTTTAAAACTGACAATTAATAATGACGTTGTTTTTATTCTTAATGGCAATTGAAAATTGTGTTTTTAATCAGACGTACTTATAAAACGAACAGTCAACAACGTTGTGCCTGTAACGGCGTTGTATTGGTAACATACGGCCATCAATGTTGTGTCTGTAATGGCGTTGTATTGGTAACATACGGTCATCAATGTTGTGCCTGTAATGGCGTTGTATTTGTAATATACGGCCATCAACGTTGTGCCTGTAATAACGTTGTATTGGTAACATACGGCCATCAATGATGTGTCTGTAATGGCGTTGTATTGATAACATACGGCCATCAATGTTGTGCCTGTAATGGCGTTGTATTGGTAACATACGGCCATCAATGATGTGTCTGTAATGGCGTTGTATTGATAACATACGGCCATCAATGTTGTGCCTGTAACGGCGTTGTATTGGTAACATACGGCCATCAATGTTGTGCCTGTAATGGCGTTGTATTGGTAACATACGGCCATCAACGTTGTGCCTGTTATGGCGTTGTATTGGTAACATACGGCCATCAATGTTGTGCCTGTAATGGCGTTGTATTGGTAACATACGGCCATCAATGTTATGTCTGAAATGGCGTTGTGTTGGTAACATACGGCCATCAATGTTGTGTCTGTAATGGCGTTGTATTGGTAACATACGGCCATCAATGTTGTGTCTGTAATGGCGTTGTGTTGGTAACATACGGCCATCAATGTTGTGTCTGTAATGGCGTTGTATTGGTAACATACGGCCATCAATGTTGTGTCTGTAATGGCGTTGTGTTGGTAACATACGGCCATCAATGTTGTGTCTGTAATGGCGTTGTATTGGTAACATACGGCCATCAATGTTGTGTCTGTAATGGCGTTGTATTGGTAACATACGGCCATCAATGTTGTGTCTGTAATGGCGTTGTATTGGTAACATACGGCCATCAATGTTGTGTCTATATTTGGCTAGAGAGGCATGATGCTGCAAGTAGTTTAAAATGATTTAGATCGTCAAACTAGATAAAAAAAACGTAGTTTAAATCTATGTTAATTGTATACTTATTCAGAACACCATGTGGCCAGATATTGCCTTAAGCATCAGTGTGATGATTGTATAAGTATGTGCCGACGAAAGTAATAACTCAAGTGTACATTGATACATGAGATAGTGTGAGTAATAGGGGCAGGATTTGGAAATATATACAATCTTTATGACGATGATGAAGGAAGTACTTTCTAAACACCTTAAATATATCAAAGTAAATATTGTGAATGCATCGTGAAAACAAGGTCACCAGTATCGTCTACCACGTCCATGATAGACGTTTACATCGCCAATATCGTCTACCACGTCCATGATAGACGTTTACATCGCCAATATCGCTAATACGTCCATGCAAGATGTTTACATCACCAGTATCTTTTACCACGTCAATGACAGATGCAAACATCACCAGTATCTTTTACCACGTCAATGACAGATGCAAACATCATCAGTATCGTCTATGACGTCAATGACAGATGTTTACATCATCAGTATCGTCTACCACGTCAATGACAGATGTTAACACCACCAGTATCGTCTACCACGTCAATGACAGATGTTAACATCGCCAGTATCGTTTACCACGTCAATGACAGATGTTAACATCTCCAGTATCGTACACCACATCAATGACAAATGTTTTCATCGCCAGTATCGTCTACCACGTCAGTGACAGATGTTAACACCACCAGTATCGTCTACCATGTCAATGACAGATCTTAACATCTCCAGTATCGTCTACCATGTCAATGACAGATGTTAACATCTCCAGTATCGTCTACCACGTCAATGACAGATGTTAACACCACCAGTATCGTCTACCATGTCAATGACAGATGTTTACATCACCAGTATCATCTACCACATCAATGACAGATGTTTTCATCGCCAGTATCGTCTACCACGTCAATGACAGATGTTAACACCACCAGTATCGTCTACCATGTCAATGACAGATGTTTACATCGCCAGTATCGTCTACCACATCAATGACAGATGTTAACATCCCCAGTATCGTATACCACATCAATGACAGATGTTTACATCTCCAGTATCGTCTACCACGTCAATGACAGATGTTAACACCAGCAGTATCGTCTACCATGTCAATGACAGGTGTTTACATCGCCAGTATCGTCTACCACGTCAATGACAGATGTTTACATCTCCAGTATCGTCTGCCACGTCAATGACAGATGTTTACATCTCCAGTATCGTATACCACGTCAATGACAGATGTTTACATCTCCAGTATCGTCTGCCACGTCAATGACAGATGTGTACATATCCAGGATCGTCTACCACGTTAATGACAGATGTTTATATTTCCAGTATCGTCTTCCACATCAATGACAGATGTTTACATCACCAGTATCGTCCACCAAATCAATGACAGATGTTTATATTTCCAGTATCGTATACCACGTCAATGACAGATGTTAACACCACCAGTATCGTATACCACATCAATGACAGATGTTTACATCTCCAGTATCGTCTACCACGTCAATGACAGATGTTTACATCACCAGTATCGTCTACTACGTCAATGACAGATGTTCACATCACCAGTATCGTCCACCAAATCAATGACAGATGTTTATATTTCCAGTATCGTCTACCACATCAATGACAGATGTTAACATCTCCAGTATCGTATACTACGTCAATGACAGATGTTTACATCACCAGTATCGTCCACCACGTCAATGACAGATGTTTATATTTCCAGTATCGTATACCACGTCAATGACAGATGTTAACACCACCAGTATCGTATACCACATCAATGACAGATGTTAACACCACCAGTATCGTCTACCACGTCAATGACAGATGTTAACATCTCCAGTATCGTATACCACGTCAATGACAGATGTTTACATCTCCAGTATCGTCTACCACATCAATGACAGATGTGTACATATCCAGGATCGTCTATCACGTTAATGACAGATGTTTATCTTTCCAGTATCGTCTTCCACATCAATGACAGATGTTTACATCACCAGTATCGTCTACCACGTCAGTGACAGATGTTTGTATTTCCAGTATCGTCTACCACGTCAATGACAGATGTTCACATCACCAGTATCGTCCACCACGTCAATGACAGATGTTTATATTTCCAGTATCGTCTACCACATAAATGACAGATGTTAACATCGCCAGTATCGTCTACCACGTCAATGACAGATGTTAACACCACCAGTATCGTCTACCACGTTAATGACAGATGTTTACATCTCCAGTATCGTATACCACATCAATGACAGATGTTAACACCACCAGTATCGTCTACCACGTCAATGACAGATGTTAACATCCCCAGTATCGTATACCACATCAATGACAGATGTTTACATCTCCAGTATCGTCTACTACGTCAATGACAGATGTTCGCATCACCAGTATCGTCCACCACGTCAATGACAGATGTTTATATTTCCAGTATCGTCTACCACATAAATGACAGATGTTAACGTCGCCAGTATCGTCTACCACGTCAATGACAGATGTTTATATTTCCAGTATCGTCTACCACATCAATGACAGATGTTAACATCACCAGTATCGTCTACCACGTTATTGACAGATGTTTATATTTCCAGTATCGTCTTCCACATCAATGACAGATGTTCACACCACCAGTATCGTCTACCACGTTAATGACAGATGTTTACATCTCCAGTATCGTATACCACATCAATGACAGATGTTTACATCTCCAGTATCGTCTACCACGTCAATGACAGATGTTTACAACACCAGTATCGTCTACCACGTCAATGACAGATGTTTACATCACCAGTATCGTCTACCACGTCAATGACAGATTTTTTCATCGGCAGTATCGTCTACCACGTCATTGCAAGATGTTTACATCACCAGTATCTTC